CATGGTTTGACATTATGTCATATCATTTTGATATTCGCAATTGATAATTTGACAAATGTAAATAATAAAATAAAATTTTCATAATTTCATGCGGATGGAGTCGCACGGGAACAGCTAGTTATTTATATATAAATAAAAGCAAACACACACACTATCTTTTAGAAATTAAATACTTAATAGTTATTGTTGTTTTTATTGTTCATAATTCATATTTTTACATACAAACTTATCAGAAATATGTAATATGAAATATAAAACGGTAAAAATGTGTTGTGTCGCAGGAGAGCGAGTACCGGCGCCGCGTGCGCGAGCAGGAGAGCCTGCGCGAGCGCGTGCTGCGCGCCAAGGAGCTGCGCCGCCGCAAGACCGCCGCCGCGCTGCACTCACTCGCCCACCACAAGTAACTACACATTCTATAACTAAGTGGATACAGATATCACGCCTGAAGAGATGTATGGAGCACCACATGTGCCGACCCTCTATAGGGATAAGGCCAAGTGGATGACTACTGCTATTTCTTCCATAAGGAATTAAAAAAATATCAGTAGACTATCTGTGGCAAATTCTAGCGAAATCTGTAAGTAGAATGATGAGTAGTCCATCAATCTAAACTTTTACATTTATATTAGTAAATGTAAAAAATTTTACAATCGCTAATAAAGAAATGTAAGATAAGATATGACGGAATGATAATATTTTATATCTGTGCGTCCCTTGATTTGAATTTGGACAAGCATTTCTCATTTGCCACTTTAAAAAAGTGTTTCAGTTTCTCCATTTTGGTAATATAAATGAGAGTTTAGATGTTAGAGTTTGTAGCCTAGACTTTATTACTTATAGAACAGTTAGTTTTTTTAATACCAAGCAGTCGGAGTCGCGCTCGAACGCTAGTATATATTTTACATTTTTCAACAGGGAACGTGAGAAAACAGATAAAGATGTACCGGAAGTGGTAAATAAAGAAGTTCCAAAAGCCGAGGTGAAGGCGGAGGTGAAGGGGGAGGTAAAGGTGGAGACGAAGGCGGAGGTGGACAAGCCGAGCAGCACGCAGCCCGACACCACGAGGTTGTCGCCGCTCAAGGAGGAGGTGACCGCGAGGGACTCCCCCCGCACACAGGAGGAAACTGAAATTAATTCTACATGTGGTAAGTTATACTCATTTTAGATATTTCGATACAAATGATTTAAAAAAAATGTGGGAGATCGGCCAAATTAACAATACTTGTTAATTACTTTAGAACTAACACAAAGTCAATTATATAAAGATATCGAATGTTCTGTTATGACGACTAGAAATGTGTTTTATAAACTACCAACCCCTTCCCCCCCTTTACTTCCCCGTCATAATTAGAACTTGCTAGAAAACTTCAAACATTCTGAAAATCTGAACATATATTAGCTGGAATTAGGGGGCGAATAATTGTAAAATTGCATTATTATAAGGCCTCCAGACCTTTTTTAGCATTCATCTTACTGATATAAAAGATGTTGATTATTTGCAGAGAACCTGACTCCCCCTAGAGAGGAGATGCCAGTGCAGGAGACGGTGACATCCCCC